CCCAACAGGGGCCCCTAGGGGCCCCTGTTGGGTCCTGGGAGCCCCAAAGGCACTTAAAATGCCCTAAGGGCCCCTAGGGGCCCCTAGGGCATTTTAAGTGCCTTTGAGGGTATTTTATGGTTTTCAAGAACTTCCGAGGCCCTAAGGGGCCCCTCAGGGGACCCCAAGACCTCAGAAGGGCCCCCTGCCGTCTTGGGCCAGGGGTCTCAGGGGCCCGAGGGGGGCCCCTTGAGACCCCTGGAGGACCCCTTGGGGGCCCCTGGGGCCTCAAGGGGGCCCCCTGAAACCCGTGGAGGCCCCCTTGGGGCCTCAGGGGCCCCAGAGATTCTTTCTGTACCTTGAGGGGGCCCCCGGCTGCTACCTAGGGGCCCCCCTGGAGGACTGGAGGCCCCATGGGGCCCTAGGCCCCAATAGGGGTTTCCTTAGCCACAGCTAGCTACGGCTAGCTACAGTGAGCCACAGCTAGCTGCAGATAGCTACAGTTAGCCACGGCTAGCTGCAGCTAGCTGCAGCTAGCTGCAGTTAGCTACAGCTAGCTGCAGCTAGCTGCAGCTGCCCAGGGCTGGCCATAGTTAGCCACAGTCAGTGGCAGCCACAGCTAGCCAGATTCAGCTAGCTACTGCTGGCTAGCCACAGCTCGCTGCAGCTAGCCACAACTAGCTGCAGCTAGCCATAGCTAGCTGCAGCTAACTGCAGCAAGCCGTAGCCAGCTTCAGCTAGCCATAGCTAGCTGTGGCTAACTGCAGCAAGCCGTAGCTAGCTACAGCTAGCCACAGCTAGCTGGTACTTCTTTAAGGAGTAAATATATTGTCTATTTTGACGTTAAAGGTTTATTTGACATTTTTGAATTAATGGCTTTTATAGAAGTGCTTTTCAGGCAGCGGCGGGAGAACTCAGGTGTACGTACACCTCAGGTGTACGTACACCTCAGGTGCACGTACACCTCAACTTGTGGGACCCGCAGGCTGCAGCAGCAAATTGCTGCAGGAGCTGCTGCTGCTGCTGCACCTCGGGATGCAGCAGAGCTGTCTGCAGCAGCAAACTTGTTGGGATATATATTTTCGTGTCTTCTGTTTGTCCATTGGTCTTTAATTTGTTTTGTTTATTTGTTCTTTTTTTATTCGTTTTTGCTGCCTTTTTTTCCTTCAATTCTTTTCAATTCTCTTCGTATTTGCTTCATTTTGTGTCTCTTCTCCTCAGTTCTGTCTCTTCATCTTCCTTCACCGTTCCTCAGCACCTGCTGCACCTGCTGCAGCCCTTGCTGCTGCTGCTGCTGCACTTGCTGCTGCTGCAGCAGCGCCTCCTCCAGCTGCTCGTGCAGCTGCCTCACCTGCAGGCTTGCTGCTGCCACAG